GGTGTTGGGGTCCATCGGGCCAAGAACCTCGATGCATATTGGCAAGAATTCCATCGAGGGGAGGGCGTTCCCATATTTTTTCATTTTCTCGTCCGCTGCCCTGGCCGCGGCCAAACCGCATTCTTTACTTGTCAGGTTTACGTATCGTTCGGCGAGGGTGCCAGGGACCGTAACATCTGCGTGTCTGTGTGCTTGAAAATAATCAGCTGAATGCCGACATGTGCAATTAACGACAAATAAAGTGTTAATCCATTTGTTACTTGATGTTTGACGGTTCAGTGTCACTCATCATGTTTTGATTTTAACATACATACATATATACATATATACATACATACATACATACATACACACACACACCTTTCTCTATTTTACTTCAAAAATATAATTCTTTCTGTTTTTTTGGATGGAGCGTTAAAATACCTTCTGTGCGAAGCGTTTAACATAGATTAAAGCTGAACCCGGATATGATTATTACTTCCTTATAGTTCTGATCAATTATGCGTTCATACATACACACATACATACATACATACATACATACATACATACATACATACATACATACATACATACATACATACATACATACATACATACATACATACATACATGCATGTATGTATGTATGTATCATACATACATGCATGTATGTTTAATTTAAATATCATACTTTTGGGTGATTTCAACATTCACCTTGAGAAACAGGAAGATCGTCATACTGTAAATTTATTGGAAATATTAGAAATGTTTCAATTAAAAAATTTGATCGACGAACCGACTCATGAACATGGAGGTATTCTTGATCTGATTATTTTTTCTCAAGATTTTCAGATTTCAGATATTAAGATTTTTCCCAGTGGGACTTTTTCAGACCATAGTTTAATTCAGGTTAATATACCATTAACTCATAAGCGTCCTAAAATAGTCAAGAAACAAGTTAGATCCTGGAAATACCTAAATGAAAGCAATCTCATTATATATATACAGACTTCTCCATTATCAAGGTCTTGCCAAAGCAATAATATTAATATTGAGTTTGATATGATGAGTTCTGAACTCAAGAAATTGGCTGATGCAGTTGCTCCACTTCGTTTTGCAGAAGTCAGATGTGATGTTAATGCTACATGGTATGATGGTGATTGTAAATCTTTCAAAAGACTTTGTCGAAAGAAAGAAAGGAATTACAGAAAATATCAGACAGAGAAATGTAAAAATGAGTGGATAGCAGCTCTGAAAAATAAATCTAGGCTTTTTTCACAAAAAAAAAACAGTTATTGGAAAAGACTTGTTGCAGACAATAGTGGATCTCCTAAAAACTATGGAATGTTATTAATAAAGTCCTTTGTAATCAGGTCACTGGTCAGTCATTGAGTGAAATTGTTGGTTTAGAATCGTCTCAATTCTTAAAGTGTTTTAATGATAAAGTAAATAAAATTAAACAGTCTACCAATGTGAGTAATTGTCCGACTATTTGTCAAGCTCAGTACAATGGGAATTGTTCTTTTCCTGACTTTATGCTTTTAACAGAATCTGACGTTAAAATTGTACTCAGTTTGCCATCAAAAACATGAATGATAGATGTCTTTCCGACCCATATTTTAAAGAAATATATTGATTTATTCATCGTTTTTCTTACCAGCATCTTAAATCTGAGTCTGAGCAGTGGTACATTTCCTAATGGTTGTAAGCATGCTATGGTTTATCCAGTTTTAAAGAAAGTGAATATGGATCGAAATGATTTGTCTAGTTATAGACCGATTTCCAACATCTGTTTCATTTCCAAGATATTTGAACGAGTGGTTGCCAAACAGCTCTTGAATCATTTGAATGTAAACAACCTGCTGCCAGTTCACCAATCTGGATATCGCCGCTATCATCCAACAGAAACTGCACTGCTTTATGTGTTTTCTGAGTTGTTTGCTGCTTTGGACAAACAACATGTGGCTCTAGTCGCGTTTTTAGATATGAGTGCGGCATTTGATTGTGTAGACCATCAGATTCTCTTGGAAAAATTGGTTCATGATTATGGTATTTCCGGTACTGTTATCAAATGGTTCAGATCATATCTGTTTGACAGAAAGCAACAAGTAGTTTTCAATAATGTGTTATCTAATGAAACTGTTTTAACATCAGGAGTGCCACAAGGTTCAGTGCTTGGGCCTATTCTTTTTATCATGTATACCGCTGAAGTTTTTAAAGTAATTGGTAATTTCGGTTTTAAATATCATGCCTATGCTGATGATATTCAGATTATAGTTAGTAATAAGCCAGAATTACTGCAATCTGAAATCAACAAACTTGTAACCTGCCTAAATAACATTGAAAATTGGATGTCAAACAATGGTCTTAGATTAAATCAGCTGAAGTCAAAATTTGTTCCAATAGGTACATGGCAGCAGCTGATGAAACTTAATATCGATTCAGTGAAAATAGGAGATGTTAAAATAGAATTTAGTGACAAAGCAACTAATCTGGGTTTCATTCTTGATTCTAGATTATCAATGCTGATCATATAAAGATGATAACAAATTCATGCTCTGGACAGATTCGAGAACTCTATAAACTCCGTAAGTCATTGGATAAATCTGCTATTCATACCTTGGTGCATGCATTGGTTCATTCACGATTGGACTATTGCAATGGTCTGTTTTACGGTTTGCCAGATAGGTCTATTTCTGCAATTCAATCTATTCAGAATAGAGCAGCTAAATTGATTGTTGGAGGTCTCAAATTTAACCATATTACGCCAATTCTTAAGGGTCTTCATTGGCTAACTATAAAGAAAAGAATTAAATATAAAATATGTATTTTAATGTATAAAACTGTGCATGGCTTGTTACCAAGTTATTTGATAGATAAAATAAAAGAAAAGTCTATAATGATGAGTGGTATGAACCTTAGATCAGATGATGGCATTTTGCTGGTTGTACCTGATGTCAATCTGCAGATAGCATCAAGAGATTTTGCAATATCTGGACCAATGGTTTGGAACAGCTTACCGAGATCTTTTAGAACTAAAGATTTGAAACTTCATGATTTTAAAAAGAAACTTAAAACTTACTTATTTTCGCTTTGATTTTGTTGTTAAGTGAATAATTATTTGTTTGTTACTACCGCTATTGAATGTACTTTTTTTCTTTTTTGACTTTGTTTGATTATAGATAGCGCTTTTGAGAACTTTTTGATTTTAATTAGCGCTTATAAATGTTTCATTAATAATAATAATAATACATGCATGCATGCATTACATGCATGCATGCATACATACATACATGCATGCATGCATGCATGCATGCATGCATGCATACATACATACATACATACATACATACATACATACATACATACATACATACATACATACATACATACATACATACATACATACATACATACATACATACATACATACGTTAAAAACAGGGAAAAAATGGAACGCAGATAAAGAAATAAAAGTCGCGGAGGAGGCATTAAAGGTTAAGGAAATTGTGGGAGCCGTTCAAAGTAGAGGACATGGAGTGGGCTGGTTTTTAAATACGTGGTGGTCAAAGGCATCAACTAAACTGAAGGGACAGATGATTATAAACGAAAGAAGGAAAGAATACGACATGGAACGAGTGGTGACAGCCGTACAACAAAATCAACAAGGCAGGTGGACAACGTGGGAGGGTGTGCTACAGAGAAGTTTAACGTGGAATGATATGTGGAACATGGCTCCATTAAGAGTGGCGTTCATTATAAGAGCCATGTATGATCAGTTACTATCAGGAGCAAATTTTGCTAGATGGAAGGTGACAGGAGAAGCTATGTGTAGCTTATGTGGAGAAATGGAAACAGTGGCCCACGTAATGGCGTCTTGCAAGTACGCATTCAGTCATGGACGTTATACGTGGAGGCACAATAAAGTATTGAAAACACTAGTGGAACTCATTTCCAATGTTTGTGACGAGGTGAATTCAAGGCCACTGGGCAAACTAAAAAAAATCCATTTTCTAAGAGAGGGTGAGCTGGTTCAAACAAAAAATGAAGTATGCAACGGAAGAAGTATTTTTTATAACGGCAGAGATTGGAAGGTCACGGCAGATATGGATGGCATGAAAAATTACCCAGCGTTCATAAAGGATACAGGAGCGAGACCCGACGTGGTGGTGCAGTCGGTGTCGGCAGACACTGTTGTTCTGGTCAAATTGACTGTACCGTATGTGGCTAATATAACAGCAAGCCACGCTAAAAAAACAGCCAAGTATGAAGAGCATGTTGGTGAAATAACACAACGTGGGTTAAGGTGTTTGTTGTACGCAGTTGAGGTTGGTGCAAGAGGTGTTGGTTGTTCAATGTACAGCTTTTTGAAGGATTTGGGCTTGGCAGGTAAAAGACGATCGAGTTGTATGAAGAACATAGGACATACAGCCGAGCAAGCGTCTTACTGGATAAATTTTTACAGTATAAAAGGAGGAGATTCAACGCGATACAAATTGTTTGTTCAGCAAGAGACATCCAACTGATCACTGGATGTGGCCTGTTTCTCGAGAGTGTCAGGAAGTTAAAAGGCCGAAACACTCGTTGACAGAAATTCTTCCTCTGAAGACTCTCGCTGAACGCTCGTTACGTTTAGCGTGATGGCAGCACATTTTCTCGGTGGTTTTGTAATTTGGGTGGATTCTTGTTTTTTGCTTCTGAACAAGTGAGTTCTCTTCTTTTTTACTATGACTATTTTTTTCTATATCTTTCTATATCTTTTTTTTTAACTTGTAAATATTATTGTGTCTTATTCTAGAGACTTTCTCTTAAGCCTTCTAACACTCCTTTGTCTCCGACGAGAGTAGTTCAGCGGCGAATTTTTTACTTTAATCTTAGGTCTAATAATAACAATAAAAACAATAAATCTAACTCTAACAAAAAAAATAAATATAGTTAGTAACCATAATTATATTAATAATAATAATGCTAATAGCAAGTATAATAAGAATAACTTTATTGAATCCCACTCTAATGTAATTAATACTAATGATAAGAATAATAATTCTAATTCTATTAGTTTAAATAATATAACTATATTTAAAAGTACCAATATCCAACCTACCTCTACATTTTCACTGTTTAATATTAACATAAGAT